GTTTGTTTATGAAAACGCTACGAACTTATGGAACGACCTAGTAGATCGTATCGAAGCACTCAATAACAATATCTACACGTACAAAATAGGAGGTAAAACATGAGGATGCAAGCGATAAACAGTAACACTTGCTCCACTGCAACGCTAATCGCGTACCCCCTCCTCCGCCTACTATCACCGAGCTGGGAAACGGTCATAAGGCGCCGTTCCCGGCTGTCATTTAGAAAACTCCTTTATTTTGCCATATGCACCAGTCAAAGATTCCTACACAGGTTTATTAAATACACATTTAATGCTATTATTTGCCAAACTTTTCATTGTGTAACTGAGGAAAATACTGAGAAAAGCCTTAAAGGCCATTTTCAAGTTAATTTACTTCTTCATGACTCAAACTAAATTAGTTGCATCTGTCCTAATGTCTTTAAGAGCTGTCACAACTCTCATAAGCTTACATTAAAAGGCCCAAAACCCTGCCTTGACGTGTTAAAATGCCAACTCAGCAATAGTGATCATCGCCTTACGATGTACACGTGACCAACTTAGTGTCCAAAAGAACTATGCGGAAGTAACTCAAGATATAGTAACCGCTAGTTTGCTTTCGGAACGAGTGATCCAATGATTTTTTGATGGATAGACGACCTACTTGTTGTGCTCGCCCAGTCAGCTGGGCGAGCACAACAAGTAGGTCGTTACTTGTTCACATTCGTAACACGAACAAAAGAGAAAATGCAAAAAAAAACTCCTACGAAAGCACTACATACTTGTGATGTCGTAGACTACTACAGCGACGGTGGAATCCCGAATGTAAGAAGGAATCAATGATCGGAAACGCTCCTGACCCGCAGTGTCCCAGAGTTGTAAACGGACCTAATACAAAATAGAAGTCAACAAACGAATCAATAATAATGCGAACAAACCGTTCTGTCTTCCAAGTACATTGTTTTGCTAAGGAAATCGATACCAATTGTAGCTTGATATGTATTATCGAAGGAGTCATACATAAACCTAGTGATCAATGATGTTTTGCCAACTAAAAGCAAGCATTATTAT